TTCTCAATCCACAGCAGAATTCGAACCTGCACACTATGCATCAGAGTACTTAAGTCACTGAGCCAGATCTCAGCACTGCGTACTCTGATGCAGAATGTCCAGGTTCGAATCCTGCTGTGGACTGAGGTGTAATGTGTGTAAATAATTTCGCCCATTTACAATGGATAAACAGAAGGGTAGACGAGGGGCGTGAACCGCGGCTCTTAAATTGACAGACCAACACTCTTCTGTCTTGCTTACTCAGGCCTCTACCAGGAAGGATACAAAGGTAATACTTGGTGCACTACGCCTCTCCTGGGTAGTCGACACGCTACAGTGTTCCACTCTCAATTTACGAACTGCGGTTCGCGCCCTCCCAAGGTGTACATCTCAGTGTATAAAACATTGAGAGGTATGTACATCTAACTGAGAGGTGTATATCTCAGTGAATATAGATTGAGTGGTATATATATCTCAGTGTATATACACCGGTAGTTTACATTAATCAGTATTTTAGGTATTAAAGTATTCTTGACTAGTGGTGTACAGGTGACCTGCAGTCTTAAAGTCTATATATTACACCTGGGTCATTAAGACTGGTTGGTTGGTTAATGGGGTTTAAAGTCTATTTTCTACACGAGGGTCATTAAACCCCATTAACCAACCAACCAGCTTTAATGACCCTCGTGCAGTAGATAGACTTTAAACCCCATTAACCAGCCAACCAGCCTTAATGACCCTCGTGCAGTAGATAGACTTTAAACCCCATTAACCAGCCAACCAGCCTTAATGACCCTCGTGCAGTAGATAGACTTTAAACCCCATTAACCAACCAACCAGTCTTAATGACCCTCGTGTAGTAGATAGACTTTAAACCCCATTAACCAACCAACCAGCCTTAATGACCCTCGTGTAGTAGATAGACTTTAAACCCCATTAACCAGCCAACCAGCCTTAATGACCCTCGTGTAGTAGATAGACTTTAAACCCCATTAACCAACCAACCAGCCTTAATGACCCTCGTGTAGTAGATAGACTTCAAACCTAACCAGTCAATATGAATTCGTAACTAATCAGTAAATATGTATAATGAACTGGTATCCCTTCTAATAGGTATTCCTTCTAGTAGGTATACTTTCTAGGAAATATCCCCTCTTACTGGTATGTCTTCAGGCAGGTATCCTTCCTACCCGATGTCCTATGTAATTGGTATTCCTTTTTAGTAAGTATCCCTTCTAACTTGTATACCAACTAGATGGCATTCGCTCATAACCAATGTCTCTAGCCGGTATCCCCTCTAGTAGGTATCCCTTATAAACGATATCCCCTCTTGCTGGTATCCCTTCTAGCAAGTATTCCTAACCGATATCACATGAAGTTTGTATCTCTTTGGCAGGAGTCCCTCTTAACCAGTATCCCTTCCAGCTGGCCTTCCTCATATCCGATATCGTCTATTATACCAGTATCCCTTTTAACAAGCATTCTTTTAGCAGGTATTCTCGCTAGAAAGTATCCCCTTCATTAGGTAGACTTTCTAGCCAGTATTCCTTCTAAACGACATTCTTTCTAGCTGGTATTCCTATAGCTAGCATCCTCTTTTGCAAGTATTCCTTATAGTCAGTATCCCTTCTAGCAGGTATGTTTTCTAACCGGTATCCCTTCTAGGTGTCCCTCCTAACCCATGTCCCTTCTATCAGGTGTCCGTCATTACCGGTATCCCTTCTAGAAGGTGTCCCTCCTAACCCATGTCCCTTCTATCAGGTGTCCGTCATTACCGGTATCCCTTCTAACAAGCATCTGACATTTATCGTTTCTCTCAGGTATTCCTTCTCTCAGATATTCTTTCTCTTAAGTATCCCTCCTCCCAGGTCTCTTAACAAATAACCGTTGTTGAAGATATTCCCCCCTGCTAGGCCTTCTAACAGATATCCCTCGTTGTAGATACCTCTCCTCCAGGGTTTGGTACGATGTATCCCTCCTCCTAGGTTTGATAAGATATATTCTTCGTTGCAGGTATCCCTCCTGCCAGGTCTGCTAACATGTATCCCTCGTTGTAGGTATCTCTCGTCCCAGGTTTACTAAGATATATCCCTCCTCCTCCTAGGTGAGTTAAGGGATATTCCTCGTTGCAAGTATCCCTCCTGCCAGATCTGCTAACAGGTATCCCTCGTTGTAGGTATCTCTCGCCCCAGGTCTACTAAGATATATCCCTCCTCCCAGGTATCCCTCCTCCTCCTAGGTCTCATAAAAGATATTCCTCGTTGTAGATATCCCTCCTGCCAGGTTTACTAACGAGTATCCCTCGTAGGTATCTCTCGTCCCAGGTCTACTAAGATACATCCCTCCTCCTAGGGCTCATAAGAGATATTCCTCGTTGCAAGTATCCCTCCTGCCAGGTTTACTAACGGGTATCCCTCGTAGGTATCTCTCGTCCCAGGTCTACTAAGATATATCCCTCCTCCCAGGTATCCCTCCTCTTCCTAGGTCTCATAAGAGATATTCCTCGTTGCAAGTATCCCTCCTGCCAGGTTTACTAACGGGTATCCCTCGTAGGTATCTCCGTCCCAGGGTTTCTAAATTATCCTCCTCCCAGGGATCCCTCCCCCTCCTAGGTTCATAAAAGATATTCCTTTTGTGTATCCCTCCTGCCCGGTTTTTCTAACGAGTTCCCCCGTAGGTTCTCTGTCCAGGTCTACTAAGATAATCCCCCTCCCAGGGCTTAAGAGTATTCTCGTTGCAAGTATCCCCTGCCGGTTTACTAAAGGGTATCCTGTAGGTATCTCTGTCCCAGGTTTCTAAGATATATCCCTCCTCCCAGGTATCCCCCTCTTCCTAGGTCTCATAAGAGTATTCCTCGTGCAAGTATCCTCCTGCCAGGTTTTCTAACGGGTATCCCCCGTGGTATCTCTCGTTTTCCCCGGTTTTTTACTAAGATTTTATTCCCCCCCTCCGGTTTCCCCCTCCTCCTCCTAGGTTCATAAAAATATTCCCCCGTTCCGTATCCCCCCCTGCCAGGTCTGCTAAAGGTTTCCCTCGTTGCAGGGACCCGAAGGCTACCTAGGGGCTTCCCGAACCCCTCTTCACCAAGTGCTTGATCAGATGCTGGTTTACGCTCTACGTTATGCTTCCAGACGACCCGCAAGGCAACGCTAAACTTATGTTCTCAATATTAGACTGTCTACCCAAGGTCAACAGGGTGAGTAACTGGTCCTTAGACTGTCTACTCGAGGAGTGACTGGTCCTTAGACTGTCTACTCGAGGTCAACAGGGTGAGTGCTTCTTAGACTGTCTAACAGCTCATGTTCTCGATATTAGACTGTCTAACAACGGCCAACAGGTAGAATGTGTGGTTCTCAGACTTAGTCTAACAACGGCAAACGGGGATTAATTATCAGTTTTAGGCTGCACAAGATCAAGAGGTTGATCAACAGATATTAATAACAATGGTAGAATTGTCGAACAAATATATTGGGTAATTGGACACAGAAACAACTAATGTGACAGTTTATTGTGGCAACGTTTCTCTCGTCTTGACTAAGCGTCTGGAGAGCGAAACATTGCCACAATAAAATGTCACATTAGTTGCCTTTTGTCCTTTACCAAAAAGTATCAGACGTCTCTTTAAACAGTCAACGGGGTGACTCTTCGTTGCTCAGTCAAGGGTAAACAGGAATAATTAAAACTTTTTGGATTGTACCTCCGGGTTATCCCTGTTAGTTAACCCGCCCATTTAAATCCGACCAATAAAACCTAACCCAAAAAATTTTTCTAAAATCCCAACGGTTTTGTTCCCCCCACAATGACGCTGTTTCCTTAATGGATCCTTACGACTGGTCCCCCCAGCCAATCAAGAGGAAAAAGATGACCCCCAAAACCCTTTATATTTTTGGGCCAGTTCTGAGCCCAAAAGTGGGGTGAAGACGCTAGGGTTTTCAAAACAATCATATTCTCAATTTCCCTGTGGCCCTCTCCCCTCGAAGTAGGTATTTTTGTTCATTTTTTTCTAGGTTTTTGAAGACTAGGCGTGGAGTGTGAGGGCTTTGAAGACTACGGGAGTTCGAGGGCCTTTTGGACTAGGGTGGAGTTCGGGGGCCTTGAAGCTGGGCTTGGATTTTGGGGGTTTTGAAATGGGCTTGGAGTTTGGGGTTCTTGAAGACTAGGCTTGGAGTTTGAGGGTTCTTGAAGACTAGCTTGGAGTTTGAGGGTCTTGAAGACTAGGCTTATTTTGGGGCTCTAAGATTAGGCTGGAGTTTGAGCGACTCTTGAAACTAGGTTGGAGTTGGGTCTTGAATGCTAGGCTTGAGAGTACTAGGTCTTAGACTGTCTACTCAGGTCAACAGGGTGAGTGGCTTCTTAAGACTGTCTAGAGCTATGTTCTCGATATTAGACTGTCTAACAACGGCCTACAGTTAGAATGTAGGTTGTTCGGGCTTAGTCTAACTACGGAAATTGACGGGCGATTAATTATCAGTTTTAGGGTCTGCACAAGATCAAGGGTTTGATCAAACTAGGTTATTCAGGGTCTTAAACAGGTTAGGAATTGTCGACAACATATTGGGTAATGGACCATGAAACATAATTGGTGACAGTTTAATGTGGGCAAACGTTTCTCTCTCTTGACTAAGGTCTGGGGAGAGCCGAAACATTGGCCACCATAAATATGTTCACATTAGTTGAACTTGTTGTCCATTTAGCCTAAAAGTATTGACTGTCTGTAACAGTCAACGGGGTTGACTCTTCGTTGCTCAGTCAACGGTAAACAGGAATAATTAACTGTTCTTGATTGTACTACGGGTTATCCCGGTCTAGTTAAACTGCCGGGATAATCCAGGGCCAATGAAAAACTAAGCCAATAAAATCTCTACCAATCTCAACTAGGATTTGTTCTCCACTGATGACGCTGTTTCTCTTAATGGCTCACTTCGATGGTCTGACAGCCAATTCAGAGAGGACACAAGATGACCACTAGAACTGGCTTATGTTTTGGGCCAGTTCTGATGCTCTCAAAGTGGAGTGGTGAAGACGCTATGGATTTTCATCAACAGATCAGTATTCTCAAGTTCCTGCTGGACCTCTGGCCCTCGAAGTCAGGTAATGTTTACGTTCATTGTTTTCTAGGTTCTTGAAGACTAGGCGTGGAGTGTGAGGGCTCTTGAAGACTAGGCGTGGAGTGTGAGGGCTCTTGAAGACTAGGCGTGGAGTTCGAGGGCTCTTGAAGACTAGGCTTGGAGTTTGAGGGCTCTTGAAGACTAGGCTTGGAGTTTGAGGGCTCTTGAAGACTAGGCTTGGAGTTCGAGGGCTCTTGAAGACTAGGCTTCTACTTCCAGGGTTCTTGATGACTAGGCTTGGAGTTTGAGGGCTCTTGAAGACTAGGCTTGGAGTTTGAGGGCTCTTGAAGACTAGGCTTGGAGTTTGAGGGCTCTTGAAGACTAGGCTTGGAGTTTGAGGGCTCTTGAAGACTAGGCTTGGAGTTTGAGGGCTCTTGAAGACTAGGCTTGGAGTTTGAGGGCTCTTGAAGACTAGGCTTGGAGTTCGAGGGCTCTTGAAGACTAGGCTTCTACTTCCAGGGTTCTTGATGACGAGGCTTCTAGTTCGAGTGTTGTTGAAGACTAAGCTTCTAGTTCGAGGTCTGGAGAGACATAATATAAAATTCTTGCGAGATAAAAAGAGAGAGATAAACGCAGTATAATGCCATCATTTACTGACAACGTTTCGCCCACAGAGTGAGGTGAAGAGGCAGGTGACGTGTGAATTGGAGTATTATTTTCACTATGAAAATCTTGGACAGATATGTGGTTGGTAAGTGTTGGATTTCGAAAAAACTTGCCTAGTATATGCCATTAGGCCTACTGTAGTGTTAGGTGTGAGAAGGACGACTCTACCATAGGCCAGTAGGCCTTTGTGTTCGTTAATACATGACTTATTGCTATGCCGAGTAGCAAAGAAAAATCATCCTGGGTAGAGGTTGAGCAACAAGTCATATATTAACGAACACTGTAACAGGCCTACTGGCTTATGTTAGAATCGTTCATCTCACAACTAACACTGCAGTAGGCCTAATGGCCTATGTTAGGCAGGTTTATTTCACACCCAAGACAGCAGTAGGCCTACTGTTCTATGCTAGGCAAGTCAATCTCACAACTAACACAGTTTCAACACACCTCACCTGGCGCCTCACTTCACAACACTCCTGTTACATAGGCCTATCTAATTTTAGAACTGTAGATTTATTTGTTAATTAATTTGAACGATTACCTTGAAAATACCTTTTTTGGGATTATTTTTATGGATTTTCCCTGCTTTTGTGTATTTTTAAGGGATAACTTTAAAAATCTCGTTTTTTTTTGTGTGTACGGTACCTTGGTATACGAACTTAATTCGTTCCAGAAGGCTGTTCGAGTGGTGACACCGAACGAATTTATTCCCATAAGGAATAATGCAAATTAGATTAATCCGTTCTAGATCTCCAAAAATGCGCTTACAAAAGCACTTACAAAAATACACTTACATAATTGTTGGTGTTAGTAGCTGTTCGTATCCTGAGGTACCACTGTACTAGATTTAGAAATGTAGAATTGTTCGTGAATGTTAGCAGGATTCTGTGACACTGTTTGTTCCAGACAGCTCGGGAAGCGGTAGCAGCGAATGTTCGGAATGCGCGGCCTTCGCATCTCGACTCAGCGAGGTGGAAAGTCGGGAGTACCGCGACGCGCATGAGCACGCCGCGATCCACTCCGCGGACCACACCGACCACCACGCAGTCCCCAGGCTCCGGGAGCGACTCCTCCCCGAATCCTCCTGCTAACCTGCGGTCCAAGTTGGTGCTGGGGGCCATGGCCACGAGTGCCGCAAGCGGGGAGGCCCTGAGTGGCCCCGAGGCCCTCAGTGGCCCGGCTAGCGAGCCCTCGGCTCCTGGGTCCACCTCCACTACCTCCACCCCGACCTCATCCATAACCTCCCCGCCATCCACAACCACCGCCGCCCCTACTAACTCCCTGCCACCCGGGGCGTCAGAAACGACGTCCGACCTCACTGCCACCCGCGGCCTCGACCCGGAGACCGAGACCGAAGAGGACAAGGACGAGGCCGAGACAGTCTCCAGCTGAGGACCTCGCCTTAGCCGAACTCCCGTTCAGAATTCTAGCTTCAAAAGTAAAGCCTCCAAGACTTCAGCTAGCTAAAGCACTGAAGCCAGTGCGTCGATGTTACTTTGCTGTTAACCCGTCAATCCTCGCCGGTCCCTGATCCAGGGACCTGTTGTTGCTAGCTGTTGGCATGCTGACGATGCGTCGAAGACGTACAAAGACGTCTAATAGTTGCAGTCTCTGGGGACGTCAGGTGTAGCCTCACCTAATTCTTTATTGGGTATGTAGCACCTAATAATAGGTGACTAGAAGCTGTGAACACTTCAAGTCCCTTGGAACGTGTTAATCCCCTCCCCTGACACCTGAAAGTGGATTTAAATCCCTTGTAATCCACAGGGACATCAAGGAAGAATTCTGTCTCCCTCAGGTGAGATTAAATCCCCTGGTAATCCACACCTTAAAACAGGATTACACTTGTCAGTAAGTTATGTTGTCAACTTTAAACAAAAATAAAAACCCTTAAACAGTGGCGTAGGTGACCTTCATTAGGTGACTAAGGTCCCTTGGTGTACATCCAAAGACTCAGGTCCCCCTCCTACGTCTTTGAGAGTCGGGACGAGGCACAGGTGACCCTCATTAGGTGACTGAGGTCCCTGATATACATCCAAGGACTCAGGTCCCCTTCCTACGTCTTAGGGAGTCGGGACGAGGCACAGGTGACCCTCATTAGGTGACTGAGGTCCCTGGTATACATCCAAGGACTCAGGTTCCCCTCCTACGTCTTAGGGAGTCGGGACGAGGCATAACGCGGGCTATATGCAACTATCGTTACAAATCACTGCCACGAACATTCAATTTATCTTGTCTTCTAGAAGGGATATTGAGCTCTCTCTCTCTAGTTGAAAAGTGTCGTAGTTTACCATGTAGAGCCGTTGATGAGAGGGATACCAGCCTCTACTGCTGTAGACGGGGTATACCTTGAGTCTGTACCCTACACTGCCTCGGACGGGGGTTATACCTTCAGAACATACTCTGCTACAGAAGGCTGGGTATACCTCGACATAAGAAGGGTATCAACCTCCTCATTGAGAGTACTCCAGAGTACCAGGGAGGGATACCCTCCAGCAGTACCAGATAGGGATACCCTACAGCGGTACCAGGGAGGGATACCTTCCAACAGTACCAGGGAGGGATACCTTCCATCAGCACCAGAGTCCGTGGTGCTGAGAGGAATGTCATGTCACTGCAGTCAGTTCACTGTAGTCACGTCACTGCAGTCATGTTACTGCAGTCACGTCCCTGTAGTCACGTCACTACAGCCATGTTATTGCAGTCATAAAACTGCAGTCACCTCACTGTAGTCATGTCACTGGAGTCATGTCACTGCAATCATGTTACTGCATTCATGCCATTGTAGTCATGTCACTGCAGTCATGTCATTGCAGCAATATCACTACAGTCATGTAGCTGCAGTCATGTCACTGTGGTCATGTCACTTTGGTTATGTCACTGTGGTCGCGTCACTGGAGTCATGTTACTGTGGTCATATCACTGCAATCATGTCACTATACTCACATCACTGCAATCATGTCACTGCAATCAGGTCTATGCAGTCATGTCACTGCAGTCACGTCACTACAGTCAATCACTGCAGACATTCCACTGTAGTCATTTCACTGTGGTCATGTCACTGTGGTCACGTCATTGCAGTCATGTTAGTGCAGTCATGTCATTGTGGTCATATCACTGCAGTCACGTCACTACAGTCACATCACTGAAGTCATGCCAATGCAGTCATGTCGCTAAAGTCGCATCACTGCAGTCATGTCACTACAGTCATGTCACTGAAATCATATCAATGCAGTCATGTCAGTGCAGTTACATCACTGTAGTCATGCCACCACAGTCGTGTCACTGAGTCATTTCATTGTGGTCACGTTACTGTAGTCATGTCACTACAATCATTTCACTTTGGTCACGTTACTGCAGTCATGTCACGATAGTCATGTCACTACAGTCATGTCACTTTGGTCATGTCACTGTCACTTTGTTCACGTCATTGCAGTCATATCACTCCAGTCATGTCACTGTGGTCATGTCACTGGAGTCATATCACAGCAGTCATGTCGCTAGTTATACCACTGCACTCATGTCAGTGTGGTCTTGTTACTGCAGTCATGTCACTGTAGTCATGTCTCTGTGGTCACGTCACTGCAGTCGCGTCACTGTCGTCACGTCACTGCAGCCATGTCACAGGTCACATCGCTACAATCATGCCACTGCTAACATCACTGCAGTCATGTCACTGTGATCACGTCGCTGCAGTCATGTCACTGTGGTAACGTCACTGCAATCATGTCACTGCAGTCGCATCACTGTGGTCATGTCACTGCAGTCATGTCACTGTGGCCACGTCACTGCAGTCATGTCAGTGTGGTCACATCACTGCAATCATGTCACTGGTCACGTCATTGCAGTCATATCACTGTGGTCACGTCACTGGTCACATCACTGCAATCATGCCACTGCTAACATCACTGCAGTCATGTCACTGTGATCACGTCGCTGCAGTCATGTCACTGTGGTAACGTCACTGCAATCATGTCACTGCAGTCGCATCACTGTGGTCACGTCACTGCAGTCATGTTATCATGATCATGTCACTGCAGTCATGTGACTGATCACGTCACTGCATTCATCTCACTGTGGTCACGTCACTGCATTTATGTCACTGTGGTCACGTCACTGCAGTCATGTCACTGTGGTCACGTCACTGCAGTCATGTCACTGTGGTCATGTCATTGCAATCATGTCACTGAGGTCAAGTCACTGCAGTCATGTCACTGCAGTCATGTCACTGTGGTCACATCACTGCAGTCATGTCACTGTGGACAAGTCACTGCAGTCATGTCATTGCAGTCATGTCACTGTGGTCAAGTCACTGCAGTCGTCATTGCAGTCATGTCAGTGCAGTCATGTCACTGTGGTCACGTCACTGCAGTCATGTCACTGTGGTCAGGTCACTGCATTCATGTCACTGTGGTCACGTCACTGCAGTCATGTCACTGTGGTCACGTCACTGCAGTCATGTCACTGTGGTCACGTCACTGCAGTCATGTCACTGTGGTCATGTCATTGCAGTCATGTCACTGTGGTCAAGTCATTGCAGTCATGTCAGTGCAGTCATGTCAGTGCAGTCATGTCAGTGCAGTCATGTCAGTGCAGTCATGTCAGTGCAGTCATGTCACTGTAAAATGTTATCACAAAGGCATCGAAATTCCATTTTTTTTTTCTAACTGATGCTGGTTGATGCTGGTTGATGCTGGTTGATGCTGGTTGATGCTGGTTGATGCTGGTGATGTGTTATGCTGGTGATGCGGTTGATCTGGTTGATGCTGGTTGATGCTGGTTTATGCTGGTTGCTGGTTGAGCTGGTTGAAACTGGTTATTGCTGGTTGAAATGTTGACTGGTTGATGCTGGTTGATGCTGGTTGATGCTGGTTGATGCTGGTTGATGCTGGTTGATGCTGGTTGATGCTGGTTGATGCTGGTTGATGCTGGTTGATGCTGGTTGATACGGTTGATCTGGTTGATGCGGTGTACTGTTGATACTGGTTGATGCTGGTTGATGCTGGTTGATCTGGTTGATGCTGGTTGATACTGTTGATATTGGTTTGATGCGTGTGTGATACTGGTTGATGCTGGTTTGATGCTGGTTGATGCTGGTTGATGCTTAGGTTGATGCTGGTTGATGCTGGTTGATGCTGGTTGATACTGGTTGATGCTGGTTGATGCTGGTTGATGCTGGTTGATACTGGTTGATGCTGGTTGATGCTGGTTGATGCTGTTGTTGATCTGGTTGATGCTGGTTGATAGCTGGTTGATGCTTGGTGTGATGCTGGTTGATACTGTGAGTTGACTGTTGATGCTGGTTGATGCTGGTTGATACTGGTTGATACTGGTTGATGCTGGTTATGATGCTGGTTGATGCTGGTTGATGCTGGTTGATGCTGTTGATGCTGTGACTATGTGTTGATACTGGTTATGCTGGGTATGATGCTGTTGATCTGTGATACTGGTTGATGCTGAGTTGATGCTGGTTGATACTGGTTGATCTGGTTGATGCTGGTTGATGCTGGTTGATGCTGGTTGATGCTGGATTGTACTGGTTGATTTGCTGGTTGATGCTGGTTGATACTGTTGAACTGGTTGATGGCTGGTTGATCAGTTGATGCTGTTGATACTGTTGATGCTCGTTGATACTATGGTTGATGCTGATGATAATGGTGATACTGGTTGCATCTGTGTTGATGCTGGTTGATGCTGGTTGATGCTGGTTGATGCTGGTTGTGCAGTTATGCTGGTTGATGCTGTTGATGGTTGATGCTGGTTGATACTGGTTGATCTGTTGATCTGTTGAGTGATTGATGCTTTGGTTGATGCTGGTTGAATGCTGTGACACTGGTTGATGCTGGTTTGTTGCTGGTTGAAGCTGTTGATACTGGTTTGATGCTGGTTGATGCTGTTGATGCTGGTTGATGCTGTTGTGTTGATGCTGGTTGTATGATGGTTGATACTGGTATTTGGCGGTTGATGCGGTTGATGCTGGTTGATGTTGGTTGAGTACTGGTTGATGCTGGTTGATGCTGGTTATGCTGTTGAACTGGTTGATGCTGGTTGATGACGGTTGATCTGGTTCTTTGGTGGTTGATACTGGTTGATGCTGGATTGGTTGCTGTTGATGTTGTGATGCTGTTGATACTGTTGATGCTGGTTGACGTTGATTGGTTGATGACTGGTTATCTGATGTACTGTTGATGCTGATTACTGGTTAATGCTGGTTGATGCTGGTTGATGATGGTTGATACCAGTTCATGCTGGTTGATACTGGATAATGCTGGTTGATGCTGGTTGATGCTGGTTGATACTGGTTGATGCTGGTTGATGCTGGTTGATGCTGGTTGATACTGGTTGATGCTGGTTGATGCTGGTTGATGCTGGTTGATACTGGTTGATGCTGGTTGATACTGGATGATGCTGGTTGATGCTGGTTGATACTGGTTGATGCTGGTTGCTGCGGGTTAATGCTGATTGATACTGGTTGTTGCTGGTTGATGCTGGTTGATGCTGGTTGATGTTGGTTGGTGCCGGTTGATATTGGTTGATGCTGGTTAATGCTGGTTGATGCTGGTTGATGCTGGTTGATGCTGGTTGCTGTCGGTTGATACTGGATGATCTGTTCAGTTTGATACTGGTGATGCTGGTTGATGCTGGTTCATGCTGGTTGATACTGGATGATGCTGGTTGATACTGGTTGATGCTGGTTCATGCTGGTTCATGCTGGTTGATACTGGTTGACGCTGGTTGATGCTGGATGATGCTGGTTGATACTGATTGATGCTGGTTAATGATGATTGATGCTGGTTGATACTATTTGCTACTGGCTGATGCTGGTTGATATTGGTTGATGCTGGTTAATGCTGATTAATACTGGTTGATGCTGGTTTATGCTGGTTAATGCTGGTTGATGTTGGTTGATGCTGGGTTGATACTGTTGATACTGATTGATGCTGGTTGATGCTGGTTGATGCTGGTTGACGCTGGTTGATGCTGGTTGATAGTGGTTGATACTGATTGATGCTGGTTGATTCTGGTTGATACTGGTTGATGCTTTTTCATGCTGGTTGATACTGGTTGATGCTGGTTGATGCTACTTGATGCTGTTTGATGCTGGTTGATACTGGTTGATGCTGGTTAATGCTGGTTGATGCTGGTTGATACTGGTTGTAGCTGACTGATATTGGTTGATGCTGGTTGATACTGGTTGCTGCTAGTTAATGCTGGTTGATGTTGGTTGATGCTGGTTGACACTGGTTGATACTTGTTGATTCTGGTTGATTCAGGTTGATGCTGGTTGTTGCTGGTTGATGCTGGTTGATGTTGGTTGATGCTAGTTAATACTTTTGACATCGGTTGATACTGGTTAATGCTGGTTTATGCTGGTTGTTACTGGTTGACACTGGTTAATACTGGTTGATTCTGGTTGATTCAGTTTGATGCTGGTTGATGCTGGTTGAAACTGGTTGATTCTGGTTGATGCTGGTTAATGCTGGTTGACACCGGTTGATGCCATTGATGTTGGTTGACACTGGTTAATACTGGTTGATTCTGGTTGATTCAGTTTGATGCTGGTTGATGCTGGTTGAAACTGGTTGATTCTGGTTGATGTTGGTTAATGCTGGTTGACACCGGTTGATGCCATTGATGTTGGTTGACACTGGTTAATACTGGTTGATTCTGGTTGATGATGGTTGATGCTGGTTGAAACTGGTTGATTCTGGTTGGTGCTGGTTGATGCTGGTTAATGCTGGTTGACACAGGTTGATGCTGGTTGATGTTGGTTGATACTGATTGACACTGGTTGATACAGGTTGATTCTAGTTGATGCTGGTTAAGACTGGTTGATGCTGGTTGATGCTGTTTGATGCTCGTTGTTTCTGGTTGACACTGATTGGTGCTGGTTGATGCTGGTTGACACTGGTTGATACTGGTTGATTCTGGTTGATGCTGGTTGATGCTCGTTAGCACTTGTTGATGCTGGTTAAGATTAGTTGATGCTGGTTGACACTGGTTGATGCTGGTTGACACTGGGTGATGCTGGTTGATGCTGGTTGTTGCTGGTTGATGCTGATTGATGTTGGGTGATGCTGGTTGACACTGGTTGATGCTGGTTAAGACTGGTTGATGCTGCTTGATGCTGTTTGATGCTGGTTGATATTTTGTGATGCTGGTTGACACTGGTTGATGCTGGTTGATGCTGCTTGATGCTGGTTGACCCTGGGTGATGCTGGTTGACCCTGGTTGATGCTGGTTGATGCTGGTTAGCACTGGTTGATGCTGGATGACACTGGTTGATGCTGGTTGATGCTGGTTAAGACTGGTTGGCACTGGTTGATGCTGGTTGATGCTGGTTAAGACTGGTTGATGCTGGTTGATGCTGGTAACACAGGTTGATACTGGGTGGTGCTGGTTGACACTGGTTGATGCTAGTTGATGCTGGTTGACACTGATTGACACTTGCTGACACTGGTTGACGCTGGTTAACACTTGTTGACACTGGTTGATGCTGGTTGATGCTGGTTGATGCTGGTCACCAGCGTGTAAAAAAAATTACGTTCTAATATATTCCAGCGTAAAAAAAAAAAAAAAACCTGGAATATATTCTGTCTCGTTTATTTTATATCGGAGTTGTACCTCCTACTTCCTATTGTTCATTTTTGCTGTTGAGGAAATTCAAGTCGTTCTGGCCACCTCACTGACGCACAAAACTTCGACACCTGACGATTTTGGTTCATAATTTCCTTGAGATGATCTTTGATAAGGTTCTGAAGGCTCAAGTGGGACCTCATACCACTGCAAGGCTCAAGTGGGACCTCCTCCCACTGCAAGGCTCAAGTGGGACCTCATCCCACTGGAAGAATCGAGGTGTTGACATTCAAAGCCTTGAACATTCAGGGGGAACGAGGTCAGATCCTCTCTCCCCAGTGGAGTTCCAG